AAAATCTCTCAAAAAAAAAAAAAAATGGGAGACTGAGGTTCTGCCCAGTTTCTAGACAGAGGAACTCTTCTCCTTCAAGTCACAGGCCCACCAGGGAGTAAGTTGTCACCAATTCAAATAGAAAATCCCACTGAGAACCATAAAGGAGTGGCCCCTGTGTTGCTACTTCCCTAAGCGATAATTTCCTTTAGAAATCGGAGGAAGCAGAAGAGATGAAGGTGCCAGAACCAACAGTTGTTCAGGTCTCAGCATGCCCCTATAAAGTGCTTCCTCGTCTCCCCGACAATGTGAGCTAACAGGTAAATCAGGTTAGGATGACCCCTGAGAGCATCACAGCCTTCTTCTGTGGGAAATTATCTCACTGGGAAGATTGAGGGCATCTTGAATCACCCTGTGCTGCTCACGCTGGGGACAGACATTACCTGAGATTTAAATGTAGTTCCCCCAGGCAGTTAGCAACCATTAGGCAGGCCGCTCTTATTTGACTAGGACCCCGAGCTATTCCGAGCTAAATAAAAACAGAAGTACTGGTTTGCTGAAGTTCACCGAAAACTGGGAAAGTACATTCCTGGCACCACAGAAGAGAAGGGAAAAAAATCTTCATTGGAGGCTGCCGAGCAAGAATGCCTGGAGCCCCCAGCCCGCTGCCACCTGGTCTGCTAAGCCCCTTGCCCTGGAAGAAAATCAAGTTGGCAGTTACGGTAACATATTTGACTTCCACAGGAACCTCTTGTCCTCACTGTCCATGCTCACCAAATCCACTCACTTCTCCTGTTTTGAAAATAAGGCAAGACCTTTGGCCAACCTCTAATGGGAACCACATTCGGGAATCTGGAATCTACCATGACTTACTCTTCTAGTCCATCCCGTTCTAATAACAGAATCATCCGAGTCTGGGTAATTTTTAAAAACAGAGTTTTATTCAACTCACGGTTTGGAGGTCCAAGGTCCAGGGGCCACCTCTGGTGAATGTCTTCTTGCTGATGGAGCTTGAGCAGAGCGTGCTCGCGTCCGTGTATCTCTGTCTGCCTCATTCCTCTCCTTATAAACACACGAGAGTTCAGTCAGTCCCTCACCTGATAAACCCACCAGCATTCAATCATCCCCATCTCCTTACACACACACCAGGGCTCAATCATGCCTAACCACTTTCCTAAGGCCCCACTTTTCTTTTCTTTTCTTTTTTTTTTTTTGAGAGAGAGATTTTTGTTATAGCTGCATGTGCTCACTAGACAAAGAGAGAGAGAGAGAGAGAAATCACCCCTCTGGAGGGATGACCACACCACAATCTCCTTCTTCTCCATTTTCCTCTTGGGATATTGGGTACGCATGCACACGTGCCTGGGGTGAATTTTAAGCCTCCAGGCCCAGGACTTAAACCGGTCAACTACGTGGGAGTCCAGCAACATAACCATTATGCCACCTGCTGGTCCCAAGGCCCCACCTTTCAACACCATAATCAGATCTAATCTTTTTTCAATGCCTTCACAGTACAGCCAGATTCCAACACGTGGATTTGGGGAGGACACATTCAAATCATAGCACTTGCTTTCTATTTTATATCCTTGTGTGGAAAAATGCAGAATCAAATCTAGTCCAGATTTTGGCTCTGCTACCTATTGTCTGTGTCACCTTAAAAAGGTTTCTTACCTCTTGCTTAACCTGTTCTCGATCTTAAAAACAAGGAAGACTTACAACAGTTTCCAGGATTGGATTAATATTACATGTAAATGCTTATGAAAAGGCCTCCCTAGTGCCTGGTACGTAGTAAATGCTCAGTGAATTTGAGATTTCGTGCCTTCATATCTAACCCTGAGGCAAAATGAGTTAGAGGTAGGAAGAACCACACCCTCCCTCATCACTCTGCCCTCCAGGCCTTGCTGCTAACCAGGCTTCAATCTCTTTCCCCTCACCTCACATTGACACTGAAAGTACCTCTCCACTGGAGGAAGGGCAGCTACCACCATTTATCGAATGCCTGCCCTGCACCATGTAAGCCTCCTACAGGCTTCATCCCTACTTGGGTCGACAGGCCTGCCAAGGAGGAA